TTGGCCACTCTCCGCCAGAGGTCCTCCAGCGCTGCTACCTCCTGACCGCATTACCCATCACAACAGCGTGTAAACATCCGACCTGTCGCGCGGATGTCAACACTTACCCACTAATTTTAGCACATACAAACAACCTCTCATATCACAAGCGGTTTACGCCAACTGACTTAGCTAAAATGCAATTTCTGGCGGATATAAACACACATCCATACACGCATTTAATTTTTAGTACGATCTACTTTAGAGTACCCACGCGGAAGAATACCGAAATGAGACCTTAATAACCATTGATTATTAAGATTGTGTCTTAAATGAAAGAATAAACATCCCTTAACAATCTCTTAAAAAGATTTTGTCTCACGTCACTCCGTTACCAAGCAACGGGTCAATGAAGTTGCGTCGAAATTTTGGTATGAGCAGCGCCACCTGGCAGTTTGGAGAAAAAGTACAACATATATCTTTAATTACCCTTATGACGTGTCGGAAACGGTAATTAATTTTTTTTCGTACCGTTGGGTAGATTAATGTGTTCTGTATGAGATTGTTTACATGTAAACCTTGGTAGACAGCAAGAGATAGATCTGAACGATGCTGATCATTTCGTGTATGCTGGCAAATGAGGCATAGCATCAGTAGCGACATTCAGGTGCATGTCGCATCAGGACAAGCCCATAAAAGCAAAGACATCGACATGACACAAACAACAGTAAAGCCAAACATATAAACTTGCTAAAATTTGAACCCGAGGTAAGAAGAAATAAGCGACATGCTGCTGATAGTGCATCTAGCGCACTCTAAAAGTCAGCCTAGGCGGGAATGGGGAGTGGTTTATAGAGGTGACACAAGATCCTGGCTTACAAAAATGCGAGGCAACTTCAGTCAAGAGTACCCTTTTCTACTAGTTGAGAAGAATGAAGGCAAAAGAGGCCAAATTGACCGTAAACTATCACTCAGAAAAGGAAGGGGAATTCCAGACAGCGTTCTTAGCACAGAGCAAAGCAGAAACTTTTCCAATGAAAGTTACAGTAATGCTTTGGCATAATATATCCATTCTCACCTAAGTAGAAATCCACGAAATCTTTTATGATTTTGCAGTCTGGAAGTCTGGGGGATACAAATTCACCTCAGCTGTAACGTG